GATTTTTGTCTAATTTTTTTTTTTTTTTTTTTTTTTTTGTAAAATAAATTGCCTACATTTTGTTCCGTCTAATTATTTCATGGCTATATGTGCAATTTTCTAGGGCCGCTCGTTGTTATGTCCATAGTGTTGTCTTTTTGGGTGGTTGGCTTTTGCAAGGATAGGGTTGGACTACCGGTTGGTGCCTTGGTGGCTAGAATCATGTAAATGAACTAGTTAATCAAAAAGTTTTAATGATTGTTGTTAATCTTGTAAATTATCATCTGAGTTGATTATATGAAGATAGCTTGTTTTAGTTCAAGTAGTCGGATTGAATTCCTTGCTACTTTGTTTTAAGCATGTGAGCCAACTTTGAGATATCGCATTATGCTGATAAATGCAATTAAGCTTCATGGTATGGAATTACCTTTGTTGAAGTATGAGTGGAAATAACAAATTAAAGATTGTGTTTCAAGTTGAAAGATTTTATTGGGAGCTTCATGCTATAAGCAAATAACCCCTTTGGAACTTTATTAAATATCGTGCATTGGTTTCATAAGCTTAGTTTGCAACTTAAGGTTTGTTATATAGCCTTTATCTGAGTCTCTCTTTTGTGATCAGATCCACTAATTGTGGTTTTGCACTTTGCTTTGAGATTTTTTTTTTATACTAAAGGACACCGGAAAGTCTGCAAGGTAACCTTGCTTTAAGCATCAATTATTTCTTGTCTTTGTCGAACTAGTGTGATGATTGCGAGCAAGGCTCCGTGGATGCGGTTGTGAAAAGATCAAATCTATGACCAGCTGAAATTTATTTTTAATATAGCTAACATTGTATCTTAATAACTTCACATACAGTTATTAACATTTTTTTATGGTTATTATCAGGTCCTCTTTCATATGGATGGGTGGAAACATGGCGGATTTAGTCTGGTTGGTGACGACAAGGTCCGCTCCCAACCGGCTAAATCTTCTTTTGGCTCTGCGCCATCCGTATTTTTATAATGGTTGTTAATATTTTCTCGTACTTCGGTTATATATATACATTGCGCAGAGATTCTTGCTCTGTTTTTCACATCAAAAAAAAAAAAAAATCCACATACAGTTATATGTCTCGACCATCACCGAAATTTTATAGTTGTGATGTAGTGACGAATATTTTTAACATGGTATCGGAGCAAACCAGTTGCCCACGAATCTAAAGTGGCTTTAAGAAAAAAAATACTGTTGTGAGCCTCTATATTTCAACCAGTTGAGACATATTAGGGTATAGAACTATAATCCCTCAAGAGCTTTGTGATGCAGTCCAGCCATGAATATTTAATACATTGCGCAGAAGTGAACTTTATCACCTATGCCCCCCAGTATTTGAGCTCCACATATATAAAAAAAAGGGTTTAGAAAAAACGAGAAGCATTATCAATATCCAAAACAAAAAGATGAGTACTGTCAGTCTGTCAGCATCACCAGCTTGAATATACTGATGCAAGCCACTAGATAATTAGCTATAAAGCTTCTAATCATCAGGATTATTTAATTTTTATTCCAGCGCCTTCAAGATGTTACTAATTATATGAAAAAAAAAAAAGTTGGATATCCAGTTGCCTTATCAATAAAGTGAAAGCAAAGTGGGAATCCTAAAGAGGTTAGCTTTTTGATGACTAGGCTCCCCTTGAATATAATGCACATAATATACTCTTGGGATTTCTTGTCCAAACCACCTCTACGAACGCTGTTCCTTTTCGTTAAAATAGCTCAAATAAAATACTGCCACATCAAAAGTTGGAGGGGGCCCCCTCTTGAATGGATTTTTCATTAGGGCAGCTTTCTCATCAACACATTTCTCAAGTGGTCTTTTCAAAGGATTACGTAGCAACCACTTCACACATCAAATTTCGTTTATGAAAACTTTAGAAAAGATTGCAATCCACATAAAATAGGGTAAATTGTACATGACCCGGCCCGCCACATATATATCTTAAGTTGCACTGAACCCTCAACCTGTACCTGTTTACTAGCACTTAGCACTCTAAAAATGTCATATTTAGATAGGTAATCACAAGTAACAACCCTCTTTCTAATGAGTTGAGGAGAGCTAACTGTTAATAAATGAGTTGAGGGGCCTTTAGTGTAAGTGAAGGTATAGAAGAGCGGATTATGTGCAAGAGTGCTGCTACGGGGACCCAAAATATGGGACCAATGAAGGGGACAGGTGAGGTGTCTCCTCCCTATTGCATAATGAGTTGGTCATGCCAATTCATTATGCAATAGAGAGGGGACACCTCACCTGTCCCCTCCATTGGTCCCATATTTTGGGTCATTAAGTCATTTTTCTATGTGCAATTACCTTAGAAAACATTGCGAAGAGAAAGGAAGATGTGGCGCATTAAGTGGTTCAACCTTTGACTTTTGTGAACAGGGACAAAGGAGACTTCAATGTTCAAATTGTGAGATGGAAGATTCTCAAGATCGGTTTGATGGAGGGTTTGAGGAGGGAAAGGCGAGGTGACGGAGGTGCAATGAGATGAATGGTGGACATTTCTCTACTCTTGAATCCTCCCAATTTGGATGAATGCATGTATTTTTAGTTTATTTTCTCTCTGCTCTTGAATCCTCCCAATTTGGAGGGATTCTTTCCTTTCTAACTTTTTAGTTCATTTTATGGTGTCCCCACCTTCTCCTCCCCTTCCCTCACTCTAAAAACCTCCTATCAAATTTAATTTTTATCCCTCCCGCCCCCTCCCCTCCCCTTCCCTCATATCAAACCAAGCATCAAAACTGTTATCTCACGCGCTCCTAAAAGAATGACTCTTATTTATAGATATATAAAATCTCTAAATCGTAAAAACTCTAAAATTCCTAATCATTCCTTTTGCATTTTCTCTCTCTGAATAAATAAACCCAAACCAAATCACAAGGCTAGTTCTTACTCTAAATGTATTCTGAACAGATTGGTCTTAATACTTGAGTTTAATCTTTTCACATTAAAGTGGAAAAATTAAAGAGAGAAGTTGTCCTACCGCTTCAATCAGTTGAGTCCACATCAATGCGAGGTCAAATTAAGTGCACGAGCTTATTTGGATTGGGGTTTATAGGAGGTAAGGGAACAGGGTCCGGTTAGGGTTAAAGGTCCCATCATTAGGACTATAATCAAATTTTCAGTGGAAACAGAGCCATGCACCTTAGGGCTTATTTGGATTGGGGTTTATAGGAGGTAAGGGAAGGTATGCGAGACATTAATTATGTTTTAGGAATTCGTTCGAGGTAGATAATGAAAGTGAAGTTTAACGTAACCTATGGGAGCGGAAGTGAACTCCTAAAGAAAATAATATTAAGATGAGATCTATATGTGTGAAATAACGTAAGATTATTCGTGTAAATTTACGTATATTTTCTTACCTTCCATTCACTTTATTAAACTTCTCAAATGGGACGAAACAAGTTCCCCTTTGTTTCCCTACTAAATTCCCAAACAATTGTTATATGTTACATTAACTTTTCTTAACTTATCCTGTATTCACTAATTTTTTTTTTAACTATTGGCAACCCTTGAAGATATCAAATCAAACAGGATGTCGACCACGTTACCCATGTGTTAAGTTCACCTAACATTTATATGGTCTAAGCTAATATTGTTTTGAAGACCAGGCAAGTCCTTAGGACGACTTCCTTGAGTAGTCTTTGTATGCCCTACTGATCTCCTTCAATAATTGTTGCGGAGACTTGGATTGCTCTTGGGGTGGACTCTGAGTACTGCATCATCCTGTAGACCTATCTTGAATAATAACTTCTTAATTTTTTGGTGTTTCTTTTTGGAGCTATGCTACAGAGACCCAAAATATGAGACCAACATGAGGGACAAATAATTAATGATGACCAGCTCGTTATGCAATAGGAGGGGGACACCTCACTTGTCCCCCATGTTGGTCCAATATTTTGAGTCATTGGGAAATTTTTCTTCTTTTTGTTGTGTAACCTCTATAATTAAATGACATGCATGAAAATATTTTTGGTCCTGTTGATAATAGTGTATTGTAGTGGGTTTTAGTCCCACATTGCTTGGGAGAACAAACCTCACACTCCTCTACTTGTATAAATATATGTGCACACTCAATATTCAATTCAAGGGAAATTTACCCAAGATTCTCTCTCTCTCTCTCTCTTACTTTAACATGGTATCAGAGCTAGGGCTATTTCCCTTTCAATAAAATTTTTAACGCTTTTGCGTTCTTTTGCCAAATCTTGGCCTTATTGCTTTGCAGCCGTTTAATGTTTTATTTTTTTTATTTTTATTTTTAATTATTTGGCGTTCATCTGCCAGATATTTTGGCCTTGTCGTTTTGCGGCCTCTTAACGCGTTTCGCGTTCTCGTTTAACCTTCGGGTTCTATTTTAAACCTTCGGGTTTCATTCTAACCTTCGGGTTCTATTTTAAACCTTCGGGTTTCATTCTAACCTTCGGGTTCTATTTTAAACCTTCGGGTTTCATTCTAACCTTCGGGTTCTATTTTAACGGCATTGTCGTTTCAAGACCGTCTCTCGGTCTCAAATTAACGGCATCGTCGTTTCAAGCCGTCTCTCGGCCTCAAACGAACGACATTAGTAACAGCATCTCGACATCTTAACGTCTCAAGATTGCTGTTATGGCTCCTTCAGAGAAGATTCCCAAACCACCTTTGCCCCTCAATGATCAAAGTGACTGGGCAGGGTGGTCCACCATTGTCACCAATGCCTTGCGTGGCGCTGGTTTGCTTGATCATCTCACCAGTACGGGACCAGTTCCACCGTCCATCAGCACTGTTGCTTCATCCAGTACTATTGCCTCTGGCAGTGGTGATGTCGATCTTCAGACTGCTCGTGCTCTCTATGTCAAGGAGAGTTCAGAGTGGCAATTGCAGGAATTTCGTGTTATGGATTATCTCACTCGCTGTGTTGGCTCTGGTCTCACTGTCGAGATTGGCTCGCTTCCCTCTGCTCAGGCCATGTGGACTCGTCTCACTGAGCGTTTCACTG